TTATCAAAAATAAAACTCATTAATTAGTAGACAGACCAGAAAATAAGAAAATTATTGATTTAAAATGAGTGTATACGAAGAAATCAGACAATAGATATAAAGCTAGATAAGTTGTAAGAAGTTTTCAACAAGAAGAAAAAATTGACGACACATTCACCTGTAGCAAAAACATAAACTTTTAAATTTTTTTGGCTTATTAGTTACAAAATAATTTAATTATTAATTAAATGGACGCGGAATCACCTTTTTTGAATGGGAATGTAAAATCTAAAGTGTATGCTAAACAACCAGAAGGTTATAATGATAGAACAGGCATAGTATGCAGGTTAAAAAAGCATTATATGGTTTGAGGGAGAGCCCTAGAGCATGGTATGAGTGTTTGGATACATATTTACAAACTTTGAATTTTAAAAGAAGCGAGAATGATTATTGTTTGTATCATATACATGACGGATATAATTTGATTTATCTAATTATCTTTGTGGATGGTTTTTCTAATATGTAGTAAAAGTAAAAATAAAATTAACGAAACTAAAAGGTTGTTAACAAATAAATTTAAGATAAAAGACATAAGTGATTTTAATACATATCTTGGTATAAAAATTGATTACGATTGTAAAAGTGGTATAATGACATTAGATCAGGAAAGATATATAGAATCTTTAGCAGAAAAGTATGATGTAATAAACGCCAAATTATGTAAAACTCCAATGGAGCAAAACTTTAAATGTGAGCCCGTACGGTCAGCATCTGAATTTAAAAACTACAGACATTTGATAGGAGCACTTCTATATACAAGCGCAGGAACAAGACCAGGTATCAGTTATAGCGTAAACTATTTAAGTAGATTTCAAAACTGTTCAAATCAAACTCATTACAAATATGCAATAAGAATTTTAAAATCTTTGTATTTAACAAAAGATATCAAGTTAACGTATGAAAGAAATTTTGAAGTAGATATCTTGACTGGCTTTGTGGATGCAGACTAGGCAGGTGATGCAGTTGATAGAAATCCAACTACTGGTTACGTTATACAGCTGTTTAATAATGTAATACATTGGAAATCTAAGAAACAAGGAAGTGTAACAAAATCTTTGACAGCAGCTGAGTATCTGACGTTATCTGAAAGCGTAAGCAAAATCTTATGAATAAGAGAAGTATCAAAAGATTTCTTAATTATTTTTAATAAACCAATAAATATTTTCAAAGATAACTCTTGTGCGAGTAGTATTTCTAAATTTGATAATTGTACGAAAAACGTGAAATATATCGAAACACATTTTCACTTTGTAAACGCGAATTGTTCAAACGGTATAATTAATATTGTTAAAGTAAACTGAGAAGATGATGAAGCAGACGTTTTGCTGAGGCATTAGGGAGAATTAAATTTGTTAAGTTTAGAAAGGATTTAAGATTGATTTAAAATAAAAACATGATTAGTTAAAATTTGTAACATGATAAAATTTCAAATTTAAGGAAGCATTTTAAAATATAAGTAAATTTAAAATTACGCGCGCGACGTTGGGATCCTAAGCATTGAGCATGTGTAGGAGCTCTCGATTTGCGTGATTGTTATATGTGTTGAACGATCTTTTATTTAAGCAGATTTTTATTTGAGTTCGGTCAGTTTTCTGACTGGCAGGCTAAGGATTTTTATATATTTTTCTAAAGATTAATTTAATGAAACAAATATTAATAATTCTTGTTTTAAGTGCGATCTTACCCGTTTAAACACTGCGACGTGAATGCCCGTTCTGTTGGAGTCCTCGTTCTCCCCGACTTTCATAGTTGCTCGCAATCATACACATACTCAAGCTCTTAGCCTAAGTTTCGGTTACAAATAAATTAACAACTTAACATGTCCATCCATGCGAGTGGATTGACCACGACTCCGCTGTATAAATACCGTAGTATTTTTCGCATTCATCTCGGCCTTTCCTAAATTTTGCTATGCGTATTATTTTTGTTCTCACTTATTGATTCACCTTCATCTTCTTACTGATCGTCATAAAGGTCACATTGAGGTTGCCAAAGACGCATTTGAGTAATATGGGCAGTAGTTGTGTAACGCTTTTTGGCCTAACTATCCAAACTTACAATTCGAGTATCGCTCGGCAGTACTTCAGTTACAACTGAAGGCCCTTTCCTTTTATTTTGAAGTTTTGTTGATTCCCCAGTCGTGACAGTACTATTTTTAAAATAAACTAAGTCTCCGATTTGTAGTTTGATATTTTGAGCTCTGTTTATGTTATAACGCGTTCGCATACGCTCCTGCTCTTGAATAATTTTTTTTTCAACTTCCTCGTGTCTTACGTTATGATTCGAATCGTACTGCTCATTATCTGTTATTAATTCCCTCAACCAGCCCTCATCATGACTAGGCGTGTACCGGTACAATGACTTAAAAGGACTTTTTTTTGTAGTTGCGCTTTGAATTTCGTTTACATCTCTTTGTACGAATTTCAACAAGAGGTCCCAGTCCTTAAAATTGTCGCGTTCGATACTTGCCTGTAACATAGGCACTAGCACTGCATTTATTCTTTCAACCTGACCGTTTGCCTGTGCATGATGCGGTGATGTTAAAATATGTTTAATACCGTGCTTCAAGCAAAAATCATTAAACGACTTTGAAACAAAACAAGAGCCTTGATCAGAAATTACGCGTTCTGGTGCTCCAAACTCGCATACAAGATCGCTTATCGCTTTAATAACATTCGCTGTCTTAGTGTCTCGCATTGTTTCAACAATTACATCCTTGGTTAAGTTATCGATCATTACCACTACAAACTTGTTACCTTGACTTGACCGTACAAAGGGTCCTACGTGATCAATATGTGTAGTATGAGTTGGCCAACGATGTAGTAAACACATACTTTTCAAATTTTTTATCTACTCCTTGGCATAAATAGATGGTTCATTTCCCGAGAACTTATTTATATTTCGCGACAAATCTGGCATTACCTGGAAATTTTGCATAAACCCTAGATTTCCAACATTATCGTTAAACGTAAGGAAATTATTGAGTTCGTGGGGTGCAAGAGGGGGTGCGCGGTAAAGGGGGCCAAGCTACGTGGGCAGAGGGGACTCTCCCTTCCTCGTCCCTTTGAATGATACTCCTGAACCTTCTTAAGTGAGATCTTGCCCGTTTCAACACTGCGATGCGAATGCCCATGCTGCCGGAGTCCCAGTTCCCCTCGACTCTCATACTTGCTCGCAATCATACACATAATCAAGCTCTTAGCCTAAGTTTCGGTTACAAATAAATTTACAATTCAACACATGTTTGATGACGATACGTATATTCAGTGTATAGATAACTGTTGCTGAGGCAAGCCTTATGTTGGATATGAAGTGTTGATTATAATAAATTCAAGTATATCATGAAAGATATGTTTGAAGTATCTATTTTCCCAGGCTAATTCATTTTTAACAGGGATAAGTAGAAACTAGCTAAGCATGGGTGAATTTCAATATTAAATTATAAGTTATAATAGAAAATGAATAAAATGAAAAATTACAATTTTACAATGGATAATAGCCATATGTTTATTGTTTTCTTTAATCTCAATAAGATATAGTGGATTATTTCACTTTTGTGGTAGCCAAAATAAAAAAAAGTTTTTATTTGTTGGATACAAAGATACCAACAAGAATTAATTGTACACATATGAAGTCATGTAAAATGCACGAATATTAATTTTAAATAAAAGCAATTTTTGTCCCGCGTAATAGGACAAAAGTACCTTCTTTCGGCGCAGTATAGTGAAAATTTTTGTTTCATTCTGCATTACATGACCAACAATTCTTACATGTATTACATATATCATAGCAAACATGGAAGTACTTAAAATGCGCGAATCATAACATAAGAAGCGTATTATATGTATTATATGTATTATATGCACGTGCGTGCTCGAATATGTAATAATAAAATTATCTCTGTTTTAATATGTGATTCTTATAGATCTATTTCAATTAAGGGTGCTCTAATTTTCTCAGTTTTTTATACCGAGTTTAATAACATTTGAGTTGGAAGTTTTACTTCTGCCGGACATCCTAAGACCCACATCTGGTTTTGTCTCAACTACGTATTACTTAGCTGTCATTGTACTGGCGTAAAGTAATTACAAAGGTGATAAGTGCAGTCTGAGGCTAAAAAGCGGCTCTTACACTTTATTCACTAATTAATGTGTAGTGACGTAATACACTACATTAGTTAACGATTTTTATTTTGCTTTTGTCCTGCTTAACTTCTTATTGTGCAGCACTGTACTGTTAAAGTTGTTATTATCTATTCTATCATTTATCAAATGCTTGTTTTTTTTAGTCAAAGGGCCAGTATTTTTGAGTAGGTTCTTGTCAACGGTGGTATTTCAAACTACGAATTAGGTGTATGAATTGGTTGGTAACCATTGGTCCCAAAGTAAATTGTAATGCAACAATTGTGTTTAGGGCTTTAGAACTTCTAGAAAAAAAGTTACACTTTAGTAATGGCACAACTATATTTTTTTCACTTTTTAAAAAACTCTGTTTAAATAAGCATAGGTTTTCGAAAAATGACAGCCAAGTCTCTAGCTGGCTTAATTCTTACAATTTATAGAAAAAACCATGGTGTAAGAATAGACAGGTGGGCCGAAGGCCCACCTCTATCGAGTCCAATTTGTGTCGCAGTACATCTAAAATCCGCTAGGTGGTTTCGAGTAGTAGAGGCAGTTTTTATAATGGTCAGTATGACTATATAAAAAAATAAAAGAAAAAAGAAAAAAAAAATTTTCATACTATCAATGGCCTGCACGACACGGATCCCTCTGGTGGCTAGTATCGGTACTGCGACAAAATTTGAACTTTTTTTACAATGCGTTGAGGTAGGCCTTCGGCCCACCTGTCTATTCTTACACCATGGAAAAAACGTAAATTCAGACGATTTCATTTCACCCTAAACTATTACATTTTTATGAAATGATCCATAGACATTGTTACAGTTAATTTGTCTCTTTTAGGCACATCAGAATCATTACAAGTCAGCCTAATCGAGGAAAAAAAAGTGACTGTACTCAAAATATTTCATTATTGTTTCAACCAGTGCTTGTCAAACCAACTCCAGATGATATTAATGTTGGCGCTGAGCTTACAACTACTTTACGTAAAACTGATTTGCTAAAATTATTAAATAGCTTTATTCAAGTAAAGGAAGTTATAAAATTGTCAACTGAATATGGTCTTGATAGTACGTAGCTCTAAGTAATGTACTATTTTTATTTTGAATCGTAATCAAATAAATTATTATTTTATGACTAGATTATTTGCGCAAAGAAGCATTCAATAGTTTTCGTCGGTACTGTGTTGAAATAGAATCACTACCTGTTGATCTTCATGTTGTTATTAGTGATATACTTCAAGGAGCAGGAAATATAACTGATATCTTTCCATATTTTATGAAGCATGCTAAAGATATTTTTCCTCATTTAGAGTGCTTGGATGATTTAAAAAAAATAAGTGATTTACGGACACCAGCTAATTGGTAAGGTTGTAATCTACTTAACACAACAACAAGCAATAAAAATGAAAGTAATTGAGACTATTTAAAAAAAAAATTGTTATAGTTTTTTTTATAAATACAGAGTCATCTTTGTGTTTTAAATTCTTTTTATTGATGAATAGGTATCCTGTAGCTAGGACGATCACAAGAAAAATAATTTTTCATGCTGGACCAACAAACAGTGGTAAAACTTACCATGCTCTAGAGCGTTTTATGGTAGCTAAAAGTGGAGTATATTGTGGCCCTTTGAAACTGTTAGCTGCTGAAGTATTCAATAAATGTAATTCATACGTAAGTAAATTATTTTCTCAGTCCTCTTAAAATAAATTTTTTATCAATCTAACTTGAAAACTGTTCCCTTAATTCAAAAATGTACTTTGTTGTCCCTCTATTTCAATGTGATCACCTTAATATAAAACTCTTTATACTACTACAAAAAATACAACTTTTCATGAAGTAGATAATTTTATTGGTTAAGGGTACATTACTGGGGAAAGCAATTTAATCAATATTAACGCTAATAACTTGATAATACAATTCATGTGTGATACACGTACACTATGTCACTTCTGAGAGCGTACAGTCTTGGTGCTATACATAAATCAGGATTGCACTTCAATGTTCGACATTGTGTTCTTTATTCATAGTATTACTCCACTGATTCGAGTGACCCGTCGTAGTTAACTAAGTGTACTAGGCTCATGATTTCAGTAGTGGAGGAGAAGACCAAACCTAGCGCCCAAAGATACACAGTAAAGAAAGAAAAAATATGTGCATCTGTACCGCTATAGTTATATCTCTGCACATATGTATATGTAAATATCTAGATATAGTGGACATTGACTACATAAGCCCTTGCAGCTCATATATATCACGTATCGTCTTTTTCTGTACTGTTACCTTAAACGCAATTTTGTATGTCACGCAGTTTTTTATACTTGATGAGAAATATTATTTATTACATGAGTATTATGCATCAATTCAACTAAATACTCAGTAAAGTGGCAAACTAAGTAATAATAATGTGAGTCTTAAAATCTAATCGTTAACTTTTAAACCTTTCCATGACATTATTTTTATGATTTTAATCATTCGTTCTCTTACACTTGATGCAAGAAATGTGGTGAAGTCTCAAGCTTCTTTCAACAAATTATGGTAAGCTTTGGCTTCCTTTTTGTATTTGGATACCGACCACCGTTAAATTTATGTTGAATTGAATATCGTATTTTATTTTCATGCATTTTACTTATTACGTGAATATAAATTAGCAACAATAACAGGGCCGGACTTTATTATCTAAGTAAACTTTATTATTATTATTTTACAACTAACAATTGCTACGTTTTTTTAGGATAATTAATAGAATTGTAGAATAAAACAATTAAAAGATCGAGTATATAAATAAAAAGTTTTGTACTGTAAAATTAATAGTAGTTTTTTAATTGACGAAGTACTATTTATTTTAAGTACCCCACATCTTACTAGCCTGAAACTTTATTTAGATGAACAATTTATCGCAATAAAGAAAAATTATCGAGATAGTGAACATTTTCCGATGTATCGCTTACTGAAATAAGCTCCCGCTTTCACTTATTTAGAGTAAAAATTGCTCGAAATGCACGTTTTTACAAATTTCTATTTCTTTCTAGTAAATAATGTATTTTTTTTAATTTGAGTAGAGTATGTAGGCGCATATTACTCGCATGCCTCATACAATAAAGAACAAAAAGATGATGACTATGGAAAAATAAATATTGTGCTCTTGGTAAATGAATGAGACAAGCAAATGCGATAACTAATAAATTTAATACATAATTGAAAGGAAAAGTGAAGAAAATAAAGGTTGGCAGTATAGTTTAATATTTATGTCTTTGAAGTGAAATCGTCCTCAATAAACTAAAGTCTTGGCTACAAATGCATATATACATCTTAATGACTCTTAGGTCACTTGCAGTGCTTTGAACACCTTAATTAAACAAACCTGATATATGATTGTCATAGAAAGGAGATCCGGACGACTAGATAGTTAAAACGACCTTAGCTGCGATCACACGTTTGCAGAAATTCTTTAAAAGCTTTGAATGTATAGCGATCATTCAATTAGGGGTCCAATTTGTGGATGCTTTTTTGTAACGGAATATTGCAACTGTATAAACTGTAGTTAAACCCTGTCTACCACCATAAGGTATGATCTCACCCGAAACCTTAGCTGAGATTCGCAAAAAGTATAGGAGTAAATGAGTTAATTACTGCTCAGGCACCAACTACTGCGCACTTGATGGTAATACAGAATAAGAAAAACAGACTCGAAAATTCCAATGCTCCAGACATTGTAACACGTTTGAACATTAAAAACGTTCAATCCAAAATCATACTTTACATCATAACATTCAGCAGTACTTAAGTCATTTATCTACGTCCTTACTATGAAAAAAAATTAAAAATTAATGTCACAGTATTCAAAGCTGTTCTGTTAGAGATGCCATTGAAATGGTATATCTCTAGAAAATAAAATTAGTTGAAATTTTTTTATTTTAGTAAGGATACTTTAAAAGAGTTCTCAGCTGAGAAATCAGGTAAGTTTTGGCATGAGATAATTACCTGAGTTTTTATATGAGATGTCATATAATGGTCGTAGACGGGGCGGGCTCATATCTTACTCGACAATTTACAACTTAAAAACGCCTAGAATTGGGATACTGATTTTTTTATTTTTGTGTAGCATAAAATACTAAGGTTATTAACGTAAACAACATTTACATGCATTTGAAGTGACTTAAAAAAAATTACATCACATGCTTTAATGGTGTTCAAGTTGCGGGACCGAAATGTAATTTTATATTTCCATTGTTTTTGTAATTACTTTGTATTTTACGGAGATTGAGAATGTTGTATGAATTTTTTCCGAATTTTTAATTACAATATGTTAGTACTACAGGCTCGTGAATTTAAAAAGTCAGTCTCCCCAAAATAAAAACTGAGTGTCCTTAACTCTAAAGAATATCATGTATTGTTGCAAAGTGTTAAGTTACCGATTATGAAAGTGATATGGGTTAACAAACTACTGTTGTATACATGACATAAATATGATGGCTATACTAAGTTTAGTTTTCATTTGTTGCAGTATAGTATCAACTGTTTGATCATTTTATGAAAGCTTGTAAGAACGCATCTTGTGCTATGAGCCCGTAACCCGTAAAACCAAGAAATGTCATGTATCTTCGCGAGGTGTTAGATTATTGACTTGGAAGGTAATTGGTAATAATATAGCTTTTTTGTTTATGATACAAGTGCAAAGGTAAAGTTTAATTTTCATTTGTAGTATCACAATCTCGATTTGTCGATGCAATCATAAGAGCCCGTAACGCTCCTTTTTTCACGTAAGTGCGTAAAATTGGTTAATCATCTCGAGTAAAATAAAATTCTGCTATGGATTTATAAGGTAGGAAACTGATTCGTCTAAAATAAACTCTTCAGAAATATTGAAATAAGGTAATGTTCCCAATCAAAAATTTTGTTTTAGCAACGGTTGGGGCTCCTTTACTAAATATCATTACTCTAAGATAAAAAAATTCTAGATGACACGTCACGTAATATGTCAGCTAATATGTTAGCTGATATGTCACGTACCATGCCATGTAAATTTTTTTCAAAATCTAAAATAATAAACATCAATCCCTTCAAGCTTCAGTAGGTGTGTTTTTCGATGTATCATGTGGATAATACAACCGAATAATGCTAGTAGATAGACGTAAATTGCATAACGTAACAGTATGTTATTAGTTTTAATGTTTTCAGTTAAGTTAAATATTGACACGACATATCAGCTGAGATGTCAGAAGAAATCTCAGATGACATATTAGCTACACTGGAAAAAAAGTGGGCTGGCAGTGCCACCAAAAGTACCTATAGCGGTGTACTCAGACTCATGATGCTGCTGCGCGTCTGTTCTGGGCGTGCGGCGCGCCCACATCGTACGGAGTGCGGGCTGCCAAAAATTTTGATGCGCAGTAGATGCAGAAAGTTGTATGGCGGTTCGCCTTCGCATTAGTGCTACTGTTTGCATGTTATGAGAGTGCTGCGCCGAGAGTGTCCAGCAATATACAAACCCACCGCGTAATTATAGCGAAATTTTATATGTGTATGAATGTTAACAGTTATAATTGCTTTATTGATTCGATGCAGTTATTAATAGGTAAGATCAATAAAAAAATTTTAAAAACATTAATTTAGGACATATCGTTTTATGAATATTTAAGAAAATTACAAATAATTTGGAGCAACAACAAATAAATCTCCATTCGATTGAGTATTAAAGGTACAAGACGCTATGTACGGTATGTCAGAGTGTTTAATTAGGATATTTTTTTTTGTATTTCGAACCAAAAAAGCATGAACGTGTTCACAGAACATTATCTCCTTAAAAGTATCAACGAAAAAGTAAATTGTGTTACACAATTTAAATATTTTAATTATTGTACCGAATTCTTTTTCAGTATTCATCATATTTATTAAAATAGTCTTTCCTATCGCATATTTAATACCATCTATATCAACATGACTGTAAGCTATCGATTGTTGTACAAAGTTATGGATATCAGAGCAGACAATTGGTATTTTTAATTTCGATTTATCAACTGGACCGACAGTGAGTGCTTCGTTGTATCGAATATTATTAAAAATTTGGCATATGTTAAGCACTTGTTTTGTTGCAACGGTAACCAATAAATTTTTACTTCCGCTCGTGGAACAAGCATTAGCTTTTATTCGTCGATTAAACGACTCAAACCTCATGTTCCAGTAATTAATGCAAGGACAATTTTTTTCTAAAATAGATGGGTAATGGATCAGTATGTGGAACTTTGGTTTAAGAGGACCAACAAGTTCAACATACTTACTATTGAACAGGTGGATTAACTCTCGTAACTGTGAAATATCAGATGAAATAATGAGCGGAGATAACATAGTATCGATAATTTTACGAAGTATTTTAAACATCTCCCAATACTCGTTGTCTTCGGGAATCATGGTACCTATAATCAGTCCTAAAAAACGTACTAGATTGAGCATTTCTGCAACTGACATTTTCAAGCTTAGTTTACCTCTTAATCTATTGATTTGTATAATTGGTGGCTTGTTTGCATTAATGCCGAAGTTAAATGTTTGAATTCTCGCGTTCAACATATCCAACGAATACAGTTTATCTACAAAAATGTGACGATAAAAAATAGCTTGAAGGACATATTTACAAACGCCGTGCAAGACGTCGTGCATCATGTCTATGCTGACGT